ACGGAAGTAATTTAACAATAAAAAAAAAAAAAAAAAAAAAAAAAAAAATATATATATACAAAAAAAAAAAAATACAAAACGATTTTGTACTGTGCAATTTTCTATTACGATACCTTGAGAAAGAAAAAAAAAACCCCATACTTTCTTCTCTTTGTTACTACTACTACTACTACTACTACTACTACTATTACTATTCTACTCGATAATATTTGTTTTCGTCACTTTTCACAAAATATTATTTATATTCATGTATTTATTCTCTCTTTTCTTTTTTTTTTCTCTTTCTCTTTCTTTTTAGTTAAAAAAGAAATGTTTCTTTTAACAACACACATCCTTTGTATAACACTTTTGTCAATATAATATGTACGTACGGTATGTATGTATGTATGTATGTATGTATGTTTAATTGTTTTTCTTTAATTTGATTATGATCTTTTTTTTCCATGTGTCAAGAAACTTTTCACGTTGAAAGGAAGAAAGAGGTGGAGGAGAGATTCTCGCTGATCATTGTTTTCCTTTGTTAAAACGTAAAACAATGTTGCGCATGATCCGAGAGAGAAATGTTTAGAAAATATCTTTTCTTTGCCAAGAAGAAATTTCGGACTAACGTAAATTTTCTTTGTTTTTTTTTTCTCTCTCTCTCCTCCGCCTGCCCCCCCCCCGTTTCTTCTTTTCTCTTCTCCTTTTTCTCTTTCTTCTTTTTTTTTTGTTGAGCCCCCTCTCCATGTCGAGTTTTTGGTTGGTTTGTGTCTGCTGGTGTTTGGTGAACCGGTGAAAAACCAGGGGGAAGAACCCAACTAGTAAGCGGATTTTCGTCTTCGTCATTTTCCCGGAGCTCTACTATATATTATTTTTTTTTTCTCTTTTATTATTTTCTCCTTCAGCTATGTATTTTCTCTCTCTCTCTCTTTCTCTCGTATTACTTTAATCTTAAATTTTGTCCGATTTATTCTAAACATTTATAATGCGGTAGCCAAACAAACGGAGTCAAAGAACTACTGCAAAATGAAATTTCAAAGTTTCTTCGTACTTGATTTTTTCTTTATACAAATATTTTTCCGTAGAAATCATTATTCATTGTTTTCCTTATAATTTCTTTTATTTACTGAAA